GTGCTTTCCATCTGTACGTTAGGAATCCCGTTTACTTCCAATCCAGAAAAAAATAACGAGAGTTGTCGCAGCACTTTTACATGCTTATGGGCGAACTCAATCAAATATAATACATGGCATTAACCTCAAAAAATTTACGTTTGGCAAATCACCTGCATTCAGGAGAGTAATTAATTGCAAGAGCACAAGCCTTTCTCCTGCATACAGCTGATTACGATGAAGGAAAACAACAATTAAACCTTTGTCTTTGTGCTGTTCCAAGAGGAAAAATGACAGCAGACATTCATATCAGTTTGAAAACAAAGCAATTATAGAAATGTGTAGCGCCAGGTGTAGAATATTTCAAGAGAGCTTAGAAATGAACTCACTTCATGACCTCAAGAATAACAGGTGTCTGCCAGTATCTGGGCTATCTGTTATTCGCCAATGACAATCTAACAGCTAATTTTTTCTATTTTTTCTCAATTTACACATTCTATTTTTACTCTTAAAGTAACATTTGAGTTAACAATCAATCTTGGGTTTATTTGAGTAAACATACATTTGTGGCTGAGAATGATTTGTTTCCTATGACAGTACAAGGTGCAGAAGAACAGCATAAACAAATAAGAAAAAAATAAGATGAATGAACAGCATGATCCGAACCTGATTTCATAAATGTATATGAAATGACAAATGCAGAAGCTGATTAAAGTTAAATCATAAATGTTGAATGTATAGAGCATCTCCTCCAGTAGCTTATTAAACATCAATTTAACATCTTACTCTACTACAATTAATTACAAGAAAAATAATGCATAAAATTAACACATTTAATCATGCTCCCTGACTCAAGAACTTGCCAAATCTCACTGAGAGCCGACAGTACAAAACAAATAAGGAACAGATGGACAAACTCGAATGCATAATGGATTTCTGTGAACTGTGGTAGACTTCAATTATATGGAAATAAAACAAACAATGACAAACTACTGACTTCTAAAGCCACTTTCTGTGATGTCTATTCGATTCTTGTGCCACAATAACATCTTTGAATTATCCTCATTTAAGGGATAGTCACCTCATTTTTTTTTTAGAAAACATTTATATTAATTGCGATTAGTTTGATTAATCAGCATATCATGTAAATAATTCAACCAAAACATTTAGAAACAGACTCGGCAAATAGTTTAACAATATTTATGACTACATAAAGACTATCAACACTAAATCTACTGCATATTGTAGTTTATTCTGGCCAAGAGCTGCGCACTTAGACAGCCTTCTGACCAACATGTAAAATGACCAACTGTTGTTGATAAGGGTGTGCAGGGCAGATAAATCTGAAATCGATGCAGCCACAACAACAGACTGGCCTGCAACAAAATGGTAAAACATTCAAATAATGATGATTCAGTTTCCACAAAAACGTAGAAAGATAACAAGGAAATTCGAGCAAAATTTGAGTGAACCACATGGCCAGACCTTCCCTCAAGGACATAACAGGAGATGTCTAAAACAAAACTCTTGAATAACTTGGAGTTTCAATGCCATGAGCCTGCAACATCAGCAGCAATCTGGTAACATGTAAACAAATCTTTCCGACTGCCTGATAAAAAACATGTGCACGCTTGATTCCCAGAAGTTCCCTTGTGGGCAGCCAATTGGAACGGGCATATTTCACCAGATGTATTCATCTTTGCGTACAATATGCATCAGACAGTCCATAGGGAGGCTGTCAGAGGCTGAAGCTAAGAGGACCGCTTTGATAACGGATATCAAGTTTTTTATCAGCCATAATAGAGTCAAACTATTTTACCAGATGTCCTTTCTATGAATGCATCTTTGAGCAATCTCAATAAACACATCCCTTGAGTATACAATATTCTTTTCTTTGCTTCCATGTCAGAATGTTGGGCCTCCAGGCCAGACTGTTGGACCACAGGCATTTATACTTGCCAGACACAAAAACCACCAGAGAGAAAACTCTTATAAATCCTTTAACTATGGACATTTTATCTGTGTTATAGTCTTAGGCAATAAAAAACGGTCTGATTGGTAATTTAGCAGAGCTGGGTGCATTAGCTCCATTTGATTCGTTTTTCTACAGCCATTCTAACAGAAGAAAAGGGTAACAAACTTTTTATTTACAGCAACTCATGCCATGATGTGACATGGGTGCCCTACATCACTGGTCAAAATGGACAACTAATGCACACAGAAAGCCAAGCTGCTACATCAATTTCTTACCAGATTAATCTGTAAACAATTTGCAGACGTTCAATGCACAGTAAGTGGAAAGAAAGAAAGAAAGAAAGAAAGAAAGAAAGAAAGAAAGAAAGAAAGAAAGAAAGAAAGAAAGAAAGAAAGAAAGAAAGAAAGAAAGAAAGAAAAAAAGAAAGAAAGAAAGAAAGAAAGAAAGAAAGAAAGACCTCATGATTTTTAAGTTACATAATCGAGGACATGTAATTCTGTTTTTGTTGTGGTTCAGAAAAGAGCTCTTGCGGTCTAGCAAATGACTTAATTTCCTCTTAATTTAATCTGCACATTTTAAATCTATATATCCACAGTGCAAACCAGAGAATATTTTTTTTCTTTCTTTCTTTCTTTAAAAAAAAATCTTAATTTTCTATTTAAGAGGCCATATACAAACAAATAACCACAAATAAAAAAATAAGGGCAGTTGGATAAGATTTTTTTTTCTTCATTTTTCTTCATAATTCTGACAGCACTACTGACAATCTATTGTACATCTTTTGGTATAAAAATACACAGTGGTTGGGGAAAATTGTGACAAGAAATATCAACTCAAATCATTCTTTAAAGTAGTAATTTAATTGCTTTAATATATAATTTTCTGTATTATTGCCACCTTTTATGCTACTGATTAGCTGTCAGGAATATATGTGATTAATGCAAAAGTCTAAGAGGGCCCAACATTAATTATTATCTGAAATCCTAAAGTGATATCAGTGCATAAATTCATAAAGAGTGTCACATAAACCCGCCCTCCTTAGTTACTGTTGCTATGTCCGGCAAGCCATGCCACTCTCACACTACACATCAAGTTCTCACAAAAAAACATTGTGGACACAACACGTAGACAAGACAGAGCAGGTTACTTCTGGTATTAAACATAGTCACAGCTATCAAATTTTGTCTTTTTTTTTTAAATTCAGTTGTGACAGATCACTGTAGCGCCTCAGAACCAATCGTCTTTTCATATTTACTTAAAGCACAAAATAAACATGAAAGAACATCAGAATGTATTTTATTTCAACTGCGGAAAGACGTCAATACACAACATTTTTCAAGCTTAAGTCCACCGAAGTTAATCTACTCTCCTGTCTGATTTATTTGTCGAACAAGATCACAGATTCGGAATTATGATCGGTCAGATCGCCTATCAATGAAGCTCTTTGCAAAGGGTCAATTGCCCCCAACCTCCATGATAAAACCATATGTGGCAGCTACCAGCAACATATGAGCATTTGCCATTTATGTTAACCTGTAACCAATAACATGGAGATAAAATTCAGTTTAAATGCAAAGGCATCACAACTTCAGACTTTGGGCATAAAAAGGCTTTTTTTCTCTATACAATCACCCTTCTTTTCCTCATAAAGAGCAAGAACGTTACTGACAAGAGGAACAAGAGGAACAAATACAAAACAATACAAGAATGTTTTTCCAACCCTTAAGAGCATCCAACTGAGGGCATCCCAGTTGTGCTCAGAATGAACTCTCTCAGAATAGTAGCAAACACGGGGAAAAGGGGATCGGAAAAGTTCAGAGAAACAGAGAGGACAAAAAAAACAAAACATGAACGCCCCTCAAAGTTTTAACATCAAACCACAAAAAACCTACCCTAATCCTAAACTATACCAAATCGCATTATAAGACAACAGCTACTCAAGAGACACTTGTGAGCTTATGATATCAGCCCGCTCAAATGACTCGCTTAGGACATCATGCTGCTCAAAGACCGGCTTCTAGTCATGAACACCGAGTAAGGTCTGATTAATAGACGCCAGGTGGTGACATCACCCACTACGGCTGATTCTTCGGGGTTACTAACCTGCATGATTATTTAACCTACAAACGTCCATTTGGATTAGTGTAGTTGCGCTTGCCAGTTGTCATGTGATCTATCACGCACGCATGATTCACCATGCCAGCGAGACCGTCGCTGGCCACTATCCATTACTGTAACTGAAAGAGTGATTCAAAAGGTGTCACAGAGATAGTCTGGGAATAGTAAAATTACTCAGCTCTATGAATTCTTACAGAACGCAATGTTGCTGTACAAACACCAGACTGAAATCATCTTTTCCAATGGGACTAGATTAGAAAACATCCTAATGGTTATCACCCTCTCAAGCTCTAGCAGATGCAATAAGTAATCGTTTTCTGCTTTAGTAGGTCAATGAGACTTGGCTTTGCTTCTTTAACTTAAAACTCCTAATTGGCTGTCAGGACCCGTGGTAGTGGGAAGATAAGCATAAATGATAGTGGCCCCAGGCTAATGACACACGCACTGCCTTCATGAGCACCATCATCCCTCCGGTGTAATATAACGAGGCAGGGTTTCCACATATAGCCCCATATTATTTCCACTAAGATTACTCACGGCCACGTACATCTTAGTGCCATATCACTGACAACTTGTGGGCTGGACACTTGGGTTCTTGAGTTCTCCAGTTCACTTCTGGAAGACACTACAGTTTTTGCACCATTACAAGTGACTGACTTTCATCCTTGAACCAAACCTAATTCCACAACTGTATCAAATCACATCAAATAACCAGGCACAGGCATCCAGAAACCAATTAAAAACCTAGGTGAGCAACCTGAAAAGATGCAAGTTCAAGCCTGTTCACCAATATATCAGTTTTCTTATTAGATTGAAATGCAGTTTGGTAGTTCAACATCTAGGCTGCTAACCGGAAGGTTGCAGGTTCGAATCCACGAACTATCACCATCACTGCAGGTTTAGAAATGACTTGAGCGTTATCACTTACCAACTGCATGCCACATATAAATGCCAGCGTGCATCTACCACTGCAACAGCCCATTTTGCCCTCCTTCGAGTCCGTGTTTCCACGTTGGTCGCTGTAACTCCACAAGATAACGCCGAGGCAACGGGTTTAAAGGGGTCTTTCTTCACTCCAAATGCGATAGACGCGAATCAAATACGCCCTTCCGATGAAAGCATCCCAAGCGCTCCACCATGTAGGAAGAAGATATGAAGAAAACTGCATGCGTTTGTTAGAAAAGTAGAATTGAGCTCTTATGCAAAGTCAAAGAGATACGAACAACACTTCCCTAAGTTAGTGGAGAAACAACGGTAGCTCCAAATTCGGCACTGAAAGACATGTCAGTGTGATCTTTCACGGGTCCGTGTCTCAGAAACAAAGCCACCCAGTGTTGTTTACGCTCTCATTGCTCCTCCCTCGCGAGAAAGAAAACCGAATTAACACATTTTAAACCGCAATGATTCGCTTTATTTCTCTGGAAGCCCGCGGTGCGCGTGTTTAGCTGTCCAGCAGGAAATTTACGAGAAGGACAACAATCCAAACGCGCGTCCTGTAGGAACCTTTCAGTGCAGCTGAAACGGGTCCCTCAACTACTAGGCTATTGGTCCCTTCCAGCGGTAACTTGCACAGTCCGGGTGTAGAGGAGGACAAAGAAGCGGTGCATCTTGCACCATCTGACGCTCCAGATTGAATGAAGCGCACGCGGTGCTGCTCTCCGCGGGGATGCGACTCGGTTTGTTTTTCACGCAGCGGCTGGTGCTGATGCTGAACAGAGCGCAGATGAGGACAGGACGTCCCTCAATGCGCCGGATGAGCTCTCTGCTCCCTCTCTCAGTGGGAGAGAACAACACGATATGGAAATAATGACGGTGTGGTGTTGGGGGTCACTGGGCAAGATGCAGATATATAACGGGCTGTAATTGCTTCATTCCGAGTATTTTCCAAATGCCAGGTCTGAATTTAAACGGCGCCCTCTGGTTTCAAAGTCTACAATGTAAAGAAATGTTCTTGTTAGCAATATAACATTTCGTTTCGTAAGATTCCATTAGTGTAGCCTAGGCTACTTGAAAGGTTCTTTTGAAGAGACTTTTCTACACAGTAGCCTGTCGTTTTGGCTGCTTATGGAGGGTATTTCGCGATAACGAACTGACTGTATTATCCCGCATATTAGCCTACATGGCCAAACACAACAACAACAATAATATTAATAATAATAATAATAATAGCCTAATAATAATAAAATAGGTAAACATAAAAAATGGTTTAAGTTGAAATAACTTTATAATTAGCTATCGCCTATATTAGCTTCCGCTAAGAAACAATAGTCCACTACGCAGGAATTAACGAGCCTATGGCAACAAGACGAACACTGCGACACTATTAAAAGTAATTTTAATAAAACCTCAGAGTCCTCAGAGGTTACTTTTAGTAGCCGACAGTCGATAATAACTGAGGTGCAATATTGTTTTTATGAAACGATACGAGTCCGCGATGTGACGCGAGACATGAAAGTAGTTCTAATATCAGTTATCAGGAAATATCAGGATTGATATGGCCTACTGCATTTACAGGTGACAGCAAATATTAGGAAATATACGAATATCGCGATTGACCAATCAGAATCAAGTATTCCATACAGGCATATGCAATGTATAGCCTAGGCTACTTACCAGTTTAGCCTATACACACTTTATATACGCATATATGTGCACTTGCTAGTATAGTAGCCTATAGGCCTAGCCTTTATACTTAAAGTTGCTTGCTTGCCCACACCCACAAGGAAATACATGCACAATCAGTCTCTCTATCAATGTTTATGACATGCTTTAATTTTCCCAGCAATCTTGAGTGGCAGTAGCATGTATTTACTTTCCGATTTCCGGAGGTAATGGCTTCAGGCAAAACTGTGAAACCTTCCTGTCATGCTTGTCTTCTGGTCCAGTATAATCTTGGATTAATTTCACTTGTACCTGGGAAAGCTATAGAATTAGTGATAGTGCATTATTTTTGTGTGAATGTTCCATGCCACATGACTTAGGCCTATCTGAGTTTTCCATCACGTTTTGTCCTCATATTTGCCAAGTTTTCTCAATTGTCAAGCAAGCAAACTGTTATAAACAAATCCGGAGGAAATGAAAGCCATTAACCTCAGCGCATGACAGAAAACACTACTTTGTTAACATGCCATGAATAATCTAGTATTTTGTTTTTCTTGCATGCATTTTTATTCTTTGTTCACTTAAAGGTCATTATAACGCTTTGAGACATAGCTGTCTTCGATTCAGATTTTATTTCATTCACGTCACAAAATTTTAATTATCCGCCTGAAAGTGTCACACTGTTTGTATCTGATAGCTTTCTCAAATCTTAATCTTGATTGGGCAAACTGGAGTGAACCATTAAAGAATACGAAATTAAGGAGGACTGTGCATCTGTAGCAGCTGTATGGGGAGATAACGATCCTTTAAAAATGTATGAGCTACTGCAGAGCCCTGACTTCTATCACTTTAAATTGGACACCAGACAGATGCACTTTCCTGCTTTGTGCTTTAGTGAGGTTGAACTTTGGGTTCTCCTGAATGTTTTATTTGAGAGCATGTCGCATGGCCAAATCTTTATACAACTCCAATAATATTGTGGACTTTACAATGATGGAACGTTTGCAATTTAGCCAGCAGGAGCAATCCCAGCTGAGTCACTATCAATATCCGGCTAGCTTTTAGGATGGGCTTTTATGGATTGGTGCTGTGGATGAGACCAGCATTACTAGATTGAAACCCAGAGAAAAGATTAAAAAAAGGTTACTTTTTCCTATTAAACGTCATTCATTACAACCTAATTACTTAAACTGCTCTATGATTAGACCAAAAGGACTGTAGCTGAACCTTCAACAGGCTTCCTAAACATTATGGTGATATGGGTAAAATTAGGGCCATTATATTTATACATTCAATTAACTTGAGTATGAATTCTTAATAAAATGAATAAATTGGTTCACTTTTAAAATGACATGTTGAAATATGGTGGGTGATGCAGGTTTAAAGGAATAGATCAGCCAAAAAATAAAAAATAAAAATAAATAAATGTACTCATGCTCAGGCCATCCAAGATGTAGTAGTAGTTTGTATCTTTATTGGAACAGATTTGGAGAAACGTAGCACTACTGAACCTCTGTAGTGAATGGGTGCCATCAGAATGAGAGTCCAAACATCTGATAAAAACATCACAATAATCCAGAAGTAATCCACATGACTCTCATCTATCAATTAAACACCATTCCCTGTTCTTTTTTGGTTGAACTAGTTTGACCTGTGATATTTTAACTACTATTTGTCACTGTTAGACCAGCCTTACATATTTGTCATTTCGTTCATTAAAAGTCCAAAACTCCAATTTCTTAATGTAGCCCAGTTAAATATAACACACATCATAAAGGCCTCTATTTTGTTTACTTTGCAAATACTGTTTATATTTACGAAACAAATTCACTATATATTATTTTTAAAGGTGGAAAAAAAAATGAATGTAATTTTCCTCACCCAAATGTTATTTTTCAGTGGAAGTTTTAAAGTACATTAACATTTTTGTTCACAGAACAACAGTTCAGTCACCATGGCTGTCAATCTCTGAAATAAAACAAAAAAAAGTACAAAATATAGAGTAAAAACAGCAATATCGTAAAACAAAAATGTTAAATGTTATTTATTCCTGTGATGGCAAAGCTGAATTTACTTCACATGATCCTTCAGAAATCATTCCAATATGCTGATTTGGAGCTCAAGAAACATTTCTTATTATTATCAGTGATGAAAACAGTGATGCTTAATAGTTTTTTAGAAAAACTTATAAATATCTTTACTATCACTATTGATCAATTTAAAGGGATAGTTCACCCAAAAAGGACAATTCTGTCATTAATTACTCACCCTCATGTCGTTCCAAACCCGTAAGACCTCCGTTCATCTTCGGAACACAAATTAAGATTTTTTTTGATGAATTCTGAGAGCTCTCTGACCCTCCCATTGACAGCAAGGATCCTTACATGATCAAGGCCCAGAAACATAGCAAGGACATCGGTAAAATAATCCATGTGACATCAGGGGTTCAACCGATTACTCACCCTCATGTCGTTCTAAACCCGTAAGACCTCCGTTCATCTTCGGAACACAAATTAAGATTTTTTTTGATGAATTCTGAGAGCTCTCTGACCCTCCCATTGACAGCAAGGATCCTTACATGATCAAGGCCCAGAAACATAGCAAGGACATCGGTAAAATAATCCATGTGACATCAGGGGTTCAACCGTAATTTTACAAAGCTACGAGAATACTTTTTGTGCGCAAAAGAATTGTTGAATAAAGTCGTTATTTTATTTTATTTTTTTGCTTTTGCACACAAAAAGTATTCTCCTAGCTTCGCAAAATTGCAGTTGAACACCTGATGTCACGTGGATTATTTTACCGATGTCCTTGCTATGTTTCTGGACCTTGATCATGTAAGGACAATTGCTGTCTATGGGAGGGTCAGAGAGCTGACGGGATGAATGCGGGCGAGTAATTAATGACAGAATTTTCATTTTTAGGTGAACTAACCCTTTAATGCATCCTATCTGAATGAAATGATTCATTTCTTAAAATTAAATTAAAATTAATTATTAATTATTAATGTTAACCACAGACCTATTTCTTTATCAAACTGAAAACCGCTATGCTAAAATCCCATTCAAAACTCTAGAAGGAAACCCACGGCTCAATAATGCTAATTCTCTTACAGCGTTTAGGACTATGAACAGCTCTATAAAGCTGCCCCCCCCCCCCCAAAAAAAAAAAAAATGACAATTTTAA